AATTCGGTGGTGGTGGAGGTTATATTAGTGCCTACTCCTTTTGTCCAGACACTTGGAAGCCAGCAAAGCCAAAACCTTTTGGCTTATTACCACCTCCTCGGTGGTAGCTCATTGTGTTGTGCTTTACTAAAATTAATATTAATTACTGTGAAGTACTTTTGATCTTCAACACATATATAATTATAAATTAAATAACTATTTTTGCTCTTAATACATGTAAATATAATCCAGTAAACAATTAACCTCTATTATACAATAAAGTGCAATATTTAGTTTTTGTTATATAACACAATTAGTACAAGATGCTTTTAACACATTTAATTCAAAATACTCTCGATTCTAGTATAATAACAGACCTGACCTAGCTTCTACCAGCAATATCTATTTAAGTAAACCAATGTTTTTAAGGTTAAAGGTTAGAATTGCAGTTCTACCGAACTTTGAAATACCACTGATATTGATTTGATAAGCAACTTTATCAAATTTTCTCGCATTATTCGTTGTACGTGATAAGTGTAAAAACTTCATTAAACAATAATTACCTTATACACAATAAATTCACAAATTTATTCGCATTTATTTTAACACAATCGCATAATATCGAACGGTAAAATCTTCTGTCATAGACTATTATAAACTACACAGTGTTATCGCAGTGTTATGCAGCAGTGACACTAGATTTGAAACGCAGCAGCAGCATAAACTGCTTCCAAGGGACGGTTGTTCCAACTTGTTGGTAAACTTTATCCTTCAGTTACCTAAAATAAAAATCAGTAAATATCAGTAACTATTGTTTTATTTATTGATAAAGTTTACCTATGCGTTAAAGTAAAGATTATTGATATTTATTTTAGGTAACTGAGAAGTAAAGTCTACCAAGAAGTTAGAATAACCAGCCCTAAAAGACATTTTTAGGGTCCTAAAACGTCCCAAGAAAGACATTTTTAGGACGTCCTAAGAACGTCTTAAAAAAGACATTTTTCCGACACCGGAAAAACGTCCTAAAAAAGACGTTTTAGAACATTTTTTTGATTTATTAGAATGTTTTATGAAATCCTCGCTTTTTAATTTTTTAAGACGTTTATATATATTAATTTTAGTGCATATCTGCACTATATATATTATGTTCACGTGTATAATAGATATTTTTGTTTATTGCTTACTAAAAAAATTTTAAATATAACAAATTTGGAAAAATATTTTTTTAACCGCATTGCCTGTGACACTTACAGTGGATTTTGGAACAAAAATATTAGCAGAATACTGAACTACCGATAAATGGTTAGTTAAATAATTATTTTATCATCAATGTTCTCTACTTTATGTTTTAGTTGCAAGAAACTCCGTTATAGTCGTTTCTACGCTTGAGTCAATGATAAGTCAGCCGTATTTTTTTTTAGTAGTACAACTCAACGTCAAATCAGATAATTTTTTTAAGTTTCTATAAAATCTGCTACAGTACAGTATAAATTTTTCATAAATCTTTCTTGAGCGTATTGTTTCATAGTAGAATCGATCCGAACGCGATTGAAATACCTAAGAACCTTCTATTTGCATTTGCCATTCGTTAGTTGTCCCTTCACTCAATGTATATCCACCTTAACATGGCGGACAAATGTCAGCCGACGGCGGCACAGTAAAGATATTCGTCATCATTTTTCTAATGCATCATCGCTTTTTCATTGCGCTCTGTTGAGCTGCGTATCTCGGAGATTTTTCCAAGCACGCGATTCAGACGGACGGCCTTTATCAACGATAAAAAGACTCGAAAAAGGCGATCTGATTAGCGTGAAGCGTCGAACGGAGTAGGGCGGGAAGGGGAGGACTTCGAGTGGGGTAGGGCACACTTGACACACGGACATCGTGTCATTTGGAGAGTGTACGTCGCGCGGCACGGTGAACGGGACGGATACCTCGTAGGGTCGCGAATCGCTGTTGTTGACCCGCTGTGAGCGTGTATGTCTAAATCTGTGTGCGTGCGCGATCCGCGGTGGTTACGATGGATTACGTGCTGATAAAGGACATCCGGGCGGGCCAAAAGAACATTAACGTAGTGTTTATCGTTTTGGAGGTTAGCCACCCTACTATCACTAAAGAGAACCGCGAAGTTCGAACTCTCAAAGTGGCCGACAGCACCGCCTGCATGAACGTCTCCATCTGGGATGAACCCGGTCAGCTCCTGATGCCGGGCGACATTGTACGGTTGACCAAGGGCTACGCGTCCGTCTGGCGACAATGTCTAACTTTATACTCCGGCAAAACCGGCGACATACAGAAGATAGGAGAGTTTTGCATGGTGATCAACGAGCAAGTTAACATGAGCGAGCCCAATCCGTTGCTGACGCAGCAGCTAGTCAATCAGAGTGGCTCGGGTCCACCTGGCAGCAACGTGAACAACAGCATCACCAATAATGGCAATGCCGTAGTACAGAACAGTGTCTCGGGCCAGCCGGGACGACAGCCTTTGGTATACACATCCTTTGAAATAATCATATCTTAAAGCTTTACAGCATACAAGATGACAGCAGCAGCAAATCGACATATAAATTTGCATGATATTTTTGCAATTCTTTTATCGTCACGCTGAATAAAATTTGTTACAATTATTTTTCACTTGCATCAAAATTACATTCGAGATATATATTGAACTATATCGATTCACATCTGCTTGTTGCTCTAAGAAATACTTTTTTTAATAAATTGCAATGAAAAATGAAGGATAATTGTGGAAGAAGCAATTTTAATCTCTAACTTATTTGCAGATAAAAGCATTTAGAAATTAACACATTTAGTGCGCATACAATTTAATTCTATGAAATAAATAGAAATTTTAACGATGTATATAAATTTGCATGTGTGTAGAAAGTTTTCAACTTTATCACAAATCTCAGAAAGAAGAGAAGACAGAAAAAAAATACATTTCACATTGTTTAAAAACGTCACTCGGGACAGCAGTAAGCCCGTGTGATTCTTGATGTCTTTCTCAATTATCCAGAACATATGAAATCAATTTGTCTACGTGAATGGGAGCAGAAGAGCAAAAACATGTTGAGGTCTTCATTAAGCGGACTGTTCGTTTCTTTCTTTCTTTTTTTTAATAGTAATTTCCGATCTTGAAAATAATACGATTATTTCTCAGGCGTCGTATTGAGGGTAATGTATTTTACTCAGAAAACGGGCGCAATAATCATTGAAACAATCAATCGCAGGATAATCGTTCAGCTATATCGCCGTCTGAGGCACTTTCCCCATTCGTATAAGCAAATTGATGGGTACTCGAATAATCGCGACTATTGAGTCGTGGATATTGAATATTTAACTATCACCAGCGATTTGGGGTAATGGACAAGCGCACGAACGCATATCGCATAGATGCGCAGGTACATATGTACACGGTGTGTACATCTCTCTGCGATTTGAATCCCTGAATATTTAAGTATTATCGCCGTGATTTCGGAAATACAGGCACCAATGTACAATATTTGTGAATCGGGGTAACAGATGAGTATCATAATGTAGAAGCAATCCGCGTTCCACCGGCAACATTAATTAAAATGTTCGATATTGATTATGCGTAATAACTGTATTCAGCTCCGCATCGCGAGCACCATATTTATTAACCGCGGTAAACAGACAACTCGCAACAATGGTCGGAGATTTAATTACAGTTAGGTGAACCGTGTGTGTACACATAACACGCAACAGCTACGCTCAATACGGCGTAATCATCGTTTAGAAATCCTACAGTGGATACGCAGCGCAACCCCCGTTCATGTTTATTTGCATTCGATTCACGCGATCGTGTAACCAACTTGCCGTTTAATTACGATAATAATTTCCAGCGCGCGCATACTGAAAGCCGCTCCAATATGCGTACTATTAACGGGCAGCGGATTTACCAAGCGCAAAAAACATGTGTACGGTTCCTTTTTTTTTTATTTTTATCTTTTTTTTCTCGAACATACTTTCGCAATTGCTTATCACGATAAATGCCGAGCATATCTCGATTAAGGAGACGCGTGCAATTTGTCACAGGCCATCCAAAGTAACGCAACTACGACCGGCAGCGGAGCTACGACGGGTTCGACGACCGCGAAGAGCGGAAACGGTGGTGGCGGCAACGGCGGTAACGTCGGCAGCGGTAGCGGCAGCGGCAGCGGCAGCAGCTCCGGTCTACCCGGTAGCTCGGTGCGATACTCGTCGTCGGATTCCACAACTAAGTCGGCGCCGACGACCAAGAGCAATTCGCGCGGACGCGGCAGCTACAGGAACGGCGGTCGCAACGATCGGAGATAACACACAAGAAAAAAACGGCTGATCATATACGTGTAAAGAATGAAAACATTGCGCGCGACAGATATCGCTTACCGTCGAGTCCCGCTAAAGTTGACTCACCGAGCAGACACCCTATTGTAGACCTTCCCCCGCAGTCTCCGCTATTATCCGAATGGTATGTGCGTCCGAGTGAAAATATGCAATTTAGAACGAAAAAAAAACGAAAAAAAAAATGAACAGTCACATAACAAATGTGAAATGGTGCGAGAGCAGCGTAAGAGGAATCCAATTTCAGCTGGTCTGCAATAAAGGGTGATACAGACGAGTCAACTTCAAACAGATTCGACTACATAGCTTGTGTTTTTAAACTCTGATTTTCGATACGTTTAGACAAGTGCTATCGAGAATAGCTGCGTATAAAGTATTCCCGAGAACAAGTACGCGAATGCGAGTATCGTTCGTTGACGAATGATGAGTATTCGATTCCTCTTCCGGAATGTTTTCGAATAATTTCACTAAATCGTACGAACGATACCGTTTCAAGTATTATTCAAAATCACGAATGCCTGAAAAAAATTTTTCAAATTGTCATCTTTTTTTCTTTGATTAAAAAAAATTTTATAACCTCAACAAATATAAAAGTCTTGAAGATTGTAATGCTTTGAATGGTTAAAACTTGTAAAAAGTAAAAGTTATATTGTGATATTGAAGTTTGTAAGATATTATCTATTATATGTAAATTAGGTAAAATTTAATTAAAAATTTAGATATAAGAATTATTTAATACTGATATATTAATTAATTAAATACCAATATAATATTATAGTAGTAATATATTTATATATTTATATATAATATATTGATATATTTAATATATTAATATATAATATATTAATATATAATATATTAATTTATATATATAATATATTAATATAATTAGATGTTTCTTTTAGTATTAAAATTTGAAGTTGTATGTTTGAAATATACTTCAAAAAATTTTTTTTAAAAATGCAAAAATTTCAAGATTTTTAGGACTATTACAATTGTTAAAACTATTATCAGTTAATTATTGTGTCTGACAGAATTTTTCAGGCATTTCTGACTTTATATGATATTTAAAATGTTTTAAATTATACTTATTAATTCGGAATCAGTGGATAAAAAAAAAAAGAAATAAATGATTGAAAAGTGTCAGATATACTCGCAATATATTTCCGCGTATTCGCATGATTAAAAGGAATATCTTGTTTCCAAAGAAATTTTCTACGAGCATACTCGACGAGCGAGTCCTTCCTCAGTGACCGTGGCATCTTAATCAAATACACAGGGTGATGTTTAATTACATACAATATAAATACAAATATAATACGTTGCATCGAAATGATAATCGGAATTTCCAGAGAAAGAACAAAACTTTAGATCCTCAAGAATAGTATCGTTCATTTCTTTTTCCTCTGAGAATCTTTTCAGAAAGTTTCTCAGAAGAAAAAGAAGTGGATGACGCTGTTCCTGTGGATCTAAAGTTCACTTAATATGCAGAGAATGATTTCTAGTCATTTACATGTATTTATAGAAAAGATGTGCAAAGCAAAGTAAAAAATTTTTAAATAATTGCAGAAATATATTTAGAAAATAATTTTTACTACCACGTTTTCTGATTTTTTATACGCAATTTATATAATTTAATGTAGAATATTATAATTTTACTTATTGTACGTGATTAAAAATTACCCTCCACGTATATACTTCATGGTCTGTCGCGCGAATATTCGTACGCGAATATTAAATTCATTCTGGTGATTATCTTGATGAACATTCTCAAACATTTAGCCCTAAACGAATGCGAATAGTCCAATTGTGTAATCGGGACCGATACAACCTGTATGTATTGTAAGAATAACAGAAAAAAATCATATTTATGATGCAAAATAAAAAACTCAAGGGCTAGATTTGAAAATTCCTTTTTACTTGCTGGGCGATTTATTCGCTTAGTAGCGAATAAACGTATTAAAAAACAAGATTTTGCAAATTGCAAAATTTCTTTCATTGACTGTTTTCCTTGTCTATTAGTTTTGAACAATAAAATGCAATAATTTTCACGTTTTATTTCCACTTTCTTTTAGATTTGTTCCGCAAAAAGCGTTAAGCGCGACTTTATGAGGACATTTCCGGTCCCGATAAGATTCCTGGTCACCGCAAAATCGCGATACCATCGCATTTTATAATTGAATGACTGCAACGAGCGTCGCGATTTGGTACTAGTTCTCGGGAAAGGATTCTCCGCGACTAGTTGTAAGAAGTGTGGAAATTAATCGTAGACGCATATTCTCACAGATCATTACGTTAGTGTAATTATTATAAATTTTTTAAATATTTAAAAAAATATCTTTGAATGTTGAATATTTTCACCAAAACGTGCCGCGTCATTCCGTACATTTAATACACAGTGGCGACGAAATAATGAAAAGCAACGACCGTCAGATTCGCTTGCATCTCGACTGAAAATACCGTAAGGAGATAAACAAATTCATTATAGAACCATTTCCAGCGGGATTTACTTCAAGACTCATCTTATTTAAACCGTTGTGAAACGACAAACTGCTACTGCATGGAATCTTATCGTTGCGACGATAATTGCAAGATTCATTTGTTTTTATTATTTTTCGAGCTTTTCTCGAACGCTCAGCACGTCTCATTTAACACGCTAGTAAATCCTTGCACCGCTGATTGTTGCATATATTTTCCAAAATGTGGAGTTACTTCTACAAATGCTGACGAAGATTTTTATTAGTAGGTGAAAAATTCGCGAAAGGTGCTTATAATTTTACGACTGAAAATTCGAAACCGAATAAGATAAATGTCTCAGCCGAACACGTCTCAATATTCCACCGTGTATTAATAAAATAATTATTATTTAATGTTTGTAAATACAATATTAAAAAAAAAACTTTAGTAAATTTAATATGCATGCAAAAAGAATTCAGAATCGTTGTGTGAAAATATGAAAAATATTTTGGAAGCAAAAATTACATCTTCAATAATCACCCTTTAAATGTTCGACTACTGGGACATTACCTTATTGGAATTTTACGGAAAAAAAGTTTTTGTCGGTGCTTAATCGTAAAAACTTGCCTGATTTTTTTGCATAACAGTGAGATCTAACACAAAATGCACAATGCAACAGTCTACAGCAATATCGATTTCACGTCGCCAACGCGGTGTGTAATTCCTTTTTTTGCCGACACGCCGTGTATAGAGATTACACGTTCGTGTGTGAGGTGTGTGCGGATCGTAACGGTCGACAGGTGATCAAAGAGAAAACGAAAACAAGCATGTTTGCTTTGTGGCTGCCAACTTGATAAACGAATTTTCCACCCACGCAAACGACTCGGACGATCGAAACAACGATAGAAACTCATTAATAAAACCGGGGGGGGATTTCTTCTCCGGAATCGATCGTGAGTCACACTGACAGTTCTGCGTCGTTTTCGCGTTACATTTTTAAGGTTATGCTCGCGGCACGTTTTCATGATTATCTCGCGTTAACGTCGAGGTGAGCGACTGTATTTCCAACAGTCGTTTTCCTTATTTTATTTACTTCAACTTTTATTGCAATTTTGATCTTTGCTTTCAGAAAAACGACGGTGGTGTTGTGAGCGGCATATGGACCTTTGCCGATCGTTGACAGTCAAACAGCTGACATACGTAGCAATTCTTGAAACGTGATGATTTATTAGAGCCTTTCCGATGCCAAGAATTCCATAAGACGGTATGTTTTTTATGAGTTTTGATTTTTATGATTTATTATGATTTTTACGATTTATTGTTTTTTGCCATATCTTACCATATAAAAATAATACTATTTACTATGCAAAATTATACTTTAACTTCTTCATTTTATAAAAAAATGTTAAAATTCTAAAAAAATTATTTAAAATAATAAAAAATTAAATTATGATACAGCATATTTACAAAGATTTTTCTTGAAGATAATAAGAGCTGTTATCTTGAGAACTATATATATTTAGATTATGATATATCACTGTACATTGCTGTTCACAGCTTTGTAAAGATACATGCTGGTTGCCTTTTTTATTAAATTTCTCATTGTACAAATAGAGTAATCTATTAAACATAGGAAATGAAAATATGGTATGTCTGTGCCTTTAAAGCTGTTCACATATTTATTCATTATTTTATACGAAGTATTATATTAGTGTCAAATAATATGATTAACAAATATTTTTGCTTTTTATTGATGATATAATGTGAAATAAATTGCTTCTTTACCTCTGTCTCTCTTTCTCTTTCTGTTTTTCTTTATAATGAGTCTTGTGCTGCCAATTATACATATCTAATCTTTTTCAGAAATTTTTTACTTTGGAACTATGACACGTTCGTACGTAAAATATCAAATTGCTAGAGACGATGTGGACACGTCAGACTACATACCGCAAAGTGTACCAGATATCCATAGTGTAACGAAGCTGGAACCTACACTTTGGAAAAAAGCATTCCAAGTGTTTCTATTGATCTTTGCTTACTTTATTTTATCAATAGGCCTCACGTTTTACAATCCATGGCTTTATAAGACGTATGTGAGTAATTTTACATTGAAATTGATATAAATGCAATCTACAGTTCATGCAAATAGAAATAGAAATTTATTCACAACTGTTACAATATCCATAGGGGTTTGACTTTCCTCTTGGAGTGGTCGTTTGCCATTTGATCATAAAGTTTTCATTATCTGCGTTAATAAGATGCATCAGAAGATGTTGCAACGGCAAACGGATGAATCTTCCATGGCAAAATATAGTTTACTCGATAATGGTGCCTGGTATAGCCAGCGGTGTCGATATTGGTCTGTCCAATTGGGCGCTTTCATTGATTTCAATATCTTTGTAAGTATATAAATATTTTTAGAACAATAATTATGGTATTTATTATATATAATTTAATAATACTTTTTTTCTAGGGTTACCATGACTAAATCGACAGTTATTATATTTATTCTTGGATTTTCTCTTCTCTTCAAACTCGAAAAGAAGGTAAGCCTGATTTTTAATTACAGAATAATATCACTCATATATTCCCCTAATAGACAAAATTATTTTTGTTGTAGTCGTGGTCTTTAGTAGGAATAGTAGTGATGATAGCTGGAGGATTAGTGATGTTCACATATAAATCTACTCAATTTGGTGTTCTTGGATTTATATTGTGCCTCTTAGCATCGTTCGCGAGCGGTATCCGATGGACCATGACACAACTTATCATGCAAAGGTCCAAGCTCGGCTTGCATGATCCGATAGACATGATGTATTATATGCAACCTTGGATGCTGATACCCGCGATATCCGTAACTTTGTGGTTCGAAGGTAATTCTGTGTTTCAAGCAGTAGAATTTTGATAAAGTCCTACAATTAAAACTCACACAAGCAGTTGCAAGTAAGAAGCTTCTTTATAAAAACATTAAATTTTAGGAAACCGAATATATGATGGTATCAGAGTTACTGATTGGAGTGATATCGGTAGTATTTTATTAACTACATGTGCTGTAATAGCAGGTGCCATATTAGCATTTAGTATGGAAGTGATGGAATTCTTAGTTGTTACTTATACCTCTAGTCTAACATTGTCGATCTCAGGAGTATTTAAGGTAAATGGTGACATCCAATTTCTCCCATTGATACTTCAACGTAATGCATTTTTATTTTATTCCCAGCTAGAAATATGACAATTATAAAAACATTTATATTTTGATTCACAGGAAATATGTACATTAGCGCTAGCTTTTGTGTTTAAAGGTGACCAAATGACTGGCCTTAACTTCATAGGATTGTTAATGTGCCTTGGTGGTATAATATTACACGTTGTTCAGAAAGTATTGGGCAGCAGAAAGAAAACAGTTGATAATTTGGAATTGCAATCAAAAGTGACAATCAACAATGCTAAACGTGAAGATGGAACCGATTCAAATGTGCCACTATTAACAGAAAAGTCTACGTCTTTAATAAATCTCCTCAATGCGGAATTTAGTTCAGATGAAGATGGTGACTTGAGAGAGAATGATAATTCGACCCAAATACTGTCGGACATACTGCAACGCAGGGAACAGTGACAAATTATGAATCTTTAATCCTGTTATATATAGGCTGCGTTCCGAAATTCACTGCCAGTACTGAAAATCTACAATATACGTAACGTGAACTGTAGATTTTCAGTACTGGCAGTGAATTTTGGAACACAGTCATACTGTACACTATGGAATTATTTTCCTAGCGGGAACACTTCAAATAACGTACATTTATGGCATTTTATATTTTTACAATATAAATTTTACAGCCAATAATGGGAAAAATGATGCATTTCGCTTTGAGAATAATACAAGTTTATGCTTCATCCAAAGCACAAAATCTGTGTATAATCTGAAAACACATCATACATTTTGTGATGAATAACGTTTATAAAAGATATTTTAATTTCTTAATCGTTCTTTAAAATTCTTTTGGAATTTTTGTGTGTGGTCTGGGACATTTGACGAAGCATAAACGAATTAATGAATTATGTAATATGTATTGCAAAATTTTAAGTCGAAAGTCCCGATAAATTTCAATGTATTTTATCATCACATAAGGATAAAAGTTGTATGAATATTCTAGAAAATTATGAAGTACAAAAATAGAAAGTATGAAATGGACTTCGATGTGTATGTGTACTATTATTGTTAGGGAAGTGCTGCTTTAAGCGAAGAAAATAAATTATTATGTAAATATTAAGTTTTTAAATATTATAAACAAGATTAATTTAGCAACGTATTAATTCGTTTGAGAATTATGTGAATAGTTTTTCTATTCAGAGAACATATTTTCAAATAATGTAATCATTTAAAAATATTTGTGTACATAAGAATTTTCTGATAATATGTCTAAGATGGACGCACAATATAAGTTTAAATGGAATGCACTACTTCAAAACATATTATAAAATTTGATTTGATGATCATTTATCTGAAAGGGGCATTTAAGAAACGTCCTGTCTGCAATTGTTATGAAATAGATTTATAAATAGATTGAATATCCGAATGGTAACGCATTTATCATACCAAAATATTTAATAAAATTTACTTTATTTTCATATTCTCATATTGAGAATGGTAACTTTGTAACTTGATTAGAGCTTAATAAATATTTTACATATGAATGTTATTTGGCAAATTTATTTATTCTCCCACTCTGCATATTGTACACAGAATAAATATTAAATAATAAATACAAATGCAGTGTTTAAAAAATACAGTTACAAACAAACTAGAAGTAATCTTTTCTTATGTTTCTCTCTTTAAGAATTTTTAAAATGTATAACTTGTCAAATTTTTGAAAGTGATTGCTCTAAAAAATATACATACAATATTAATGGAAGTATAATCGGCAAATATATCTTTACATTAATACATGTGAATAAACATATCAATATATAAATATATATATATATTATATACATTGATATATATGTTTATTAACATATGTTAATATAAACTTTAGTTCACGTGTCATATTTCATTAGTAATCAAGTCCGACACAGCAATGTATGAATAATTTATCATTACATTCCGACATATACTTAATTTTCTATTGTCAAAGCCTTATTACAAACATACTATAACATATCCTTAATAAATAATCATGTATAATTATAAAAGAATCATATATTATATCATTCTCAAGCAATCACTAGTATTCTATAATCTAATCTAGCTAAAGACAAGATAAGTAGACAAGATCACATGATGCTAGATTTTAAAAACTTAAAAACCAATATAATGGATACATGATTCCTTGCTTCTTTGGAAATTCGCTTTTATATTTAGTAATATATATTAGATGTCGACATTTCTTAAAAGTAAAAACTGCAAAAAAATGTACTACGTCTATCTATATAATATTCGATATTGAAATATTTTTATTAATTAAGATATTGTACTAAATCGATAAAATAACGTAAAACTTCCATTTTTTTATCGTTCAAGTTATTCCACTATGCGCTAGATAAACCGAAATTTTACAAATTTTACTTCTATAAGCAAGACACAATTCATGTTCCCTAATCACAATAATTATTCTAATGTTGATTAATAAATAACAATCACGTTTATCCTTCATAAATAAAATAACAGACTTATCTTTCTTATTTACTTTGTTTTATTTGATTAGTTTTTTTAGATTTGGCTTCGATCCTGTGTTCCAGTTTGTGAATCAATTCGTCTAATTCATCCTGATAAGCAAAAAATTAGAATATGTAATTACTTAAATATTTTGTATGTGGCTTGTGCACACTTGTGTATTAGTATGCTAATTTATTAAATACGTTATACTTACTTCATCATATGTGTACATTAGAGTGCAATGTTTCAGAACCTGTTTTTTACGATTGAATAGCTGCAGTGCGTGCGGCAAACAATAGACGCTGTCATCTTGCGAATTGTTCACCAGTGAGACGAATAAGTTGGCTCTACATGTTTCGCATTCAAAATCACCATCATCCTCTTTCACTCTTTTTCCTTTCTTTCCTTTTCCACTGTCGGGTAAAGGCAATCTTTCTCTATTCGTAAGACCAACATTTTCCAGTTGTTTGCGATAATCTAATTCCTTTTCGCGAATCTTTATCACACTCGGCAGTATCTAAAAAAAAAAACGATACTCATGTACTAAGTGCTAAAAAATTATTAACTACTACTTTTAATTATTTAAATCAATTTCTTGATAAATTATAGTATAAAAAATTTAATCTCACCTGTTTCAATATATCTATATGAAATCTCGTGTCATTAATAATATTAAATAACAATCTTTCAAATGAAAAGATGGAAGGTTCACAACTGTCTTGTATATCCTGAAAGCACACATTAGACGTTTCAATATTACTAAAGTAAAGAAATCATTGAATCGATTAATTTCAGGTAAAAGATTTCGTGCATACCTTAAATACTTGCTCAGCAGTTTCTAACCAGGATGGCTGCGCGAAGTACACGCTCTCGGACACTACATAACCGGTGCATATACTCGAGGTGAACGCTTTTGGAAATACGATTATGAACTGTCCTGGCTCTTGCACGGTTTGGCATAATGGAACACCGTTGTTCACTAACAATTCTGGTGGGACCATGGCAGTGTCAGAAGGTAACCATATGGTCTTATTTTTGCAATATCGCGGCACCATTTTCGAGAGCGCTTCCCGAAAATTGTTGTTATACTCGTCAGGTATGCCGTACCAAATCTTTTTCGCGCCTGTATGTAAATATTCTATCCACGGTAGACCATGCGGATCGCGATACCAGCAGCAAGCACTAAATAACATACCTACGTGCAATGTTGGTACAGTCACGCCTAAAAATGTAAGAGTTACATTATTTGTACGAAGATATATTTTTTTTTTTGGAAAATAATTAAATAAGGAATTTATCTGTGTGAAAACTTTGAGTGGATTAAAACTATCAGTCTCTCTTCTTTCATCAAATAATTGCAATAAATAATCATATCTTAAATCTGATGGAATTAAAAGCTGCATACCCATTAATGGTCCCAAAGCTCGGAGTACTGATCCAGCATTGTTAGTAAGTACTTTGAGATTCCACGGATGTCTAGCGAACGGGCTGTTCTTGGCAACGGAAAAGCCGAATCCACGACCGCTCGAATCGATGCTCGCTGCATGCACGCAAACGTGGCGTTTTTTTTCGGCAACGTGTTTCCAAAACGCACTCTCCACCTCTTCGGCGAAAGCACCTTCCGCTTCGTTTCCCCGATGGTTCTCGCCGAACCACATACGTTGCGTATTGCGAGCGATTCGGTAAAAAGCGTTCAATGGCATGTTTCTTCCCTAGTGTAAAAAAATATCGATAAGGAATTATTAATAATGCTTTCTTTAACCGCTATCAGATACACATAATGGATCAACGTTTCATACTTTTACGATGCATTCTTCAATTTCATCAGAACTGTCTTCTTCCTCCTCCTCATCATTATCATTGGACAGTGCCTCTTGCTTTTGCAAAGCTTTGCTCTCCTTTTTCATCCACTCAGCTTCAACCTCGTCGAACAGTTTCTTGCGTTCCTCTGTAAACAAATTATTCATATAATAAAATAAATTCTGTATTTCATTACAAAATTTAGTTATTATTTTTTAGTCGTTGTATTGTACCTGGGGATAACGTATCATACGGCAGTAAATATTTACAATAAATATCATCCAGTTTAGTGACACGATCTTGCGCAGATTTTGGTATCTTCATACCGTCTGCCACCTTCTGCCATTTCTTTTTCTCGATAACTTCTTTCAGTCCACCCAAGTTT